ATCTATTCTCGGACATCGACGGATCGAGCTGCAGCGGCTACGTTGGCTAGGCCATCTTGTGAGAATGGATGAAGATGCCCGAGCTCAAAAGGCATATAAAAGCGAGCCAAGATCAAATTTGATGAGATGCGCACAAGACCGCCGCGCTTGGAAATCTTTTTTTAAGTTCGGCTTATGGAACAAGCGTTCTGTCATATTCCAGCTAAGTAAGTTATAAGGCGTGGATTATAAAAATAATTTTTTCCTAGCTTCTTAAAAGGGGTGGATTTTTAAAATAATGTTTTCCTAGCTTCTTAAAAGGGGTGAATTTGTAAAATAATTTTTACGTAGTTTCTTATAAGATGTTGATTTGTAAAAGAATTTTTTCATTGCTTCTTAAAATGCGTGGATTTTTAAAATATTTAATTATATTAATAATAATAAACAGTAATATGGGAAGCCTTGAACAAAAATGGAGTACCCCAGGATATAATCCGAATGAGAAGAATAGTAAGGTGCAGAATTCCCAGTCCTTCCCAATGCGGACACAATGTTAAATATTGTGAATTATGCAATTGGCAACACATATATTTTATCTTATTTAGTGATCTTTGAGTTGATCAATTACAATATGATGTATATATAATTTATGGTTACTTTGAATAGAGATGGATATTGATATAAGTAATAGAATAAGAATTATAATAATTTAGAATAAGAATTATATAGAATAGAATTATCCAGAATAAGCAACGAGAAGATAAAAGTTGTAACCATAGACTGAAGAAAAAGTACATTTTAGGTCAGAAGGTTAAACACAGATCAGAAGGTTAAAACATACTTTATAACCCTTCAAAAATGTATCCCTAGTGACAGAAAAATGAGACCTGACGTATCCAAGTAAAAAAAAATACTTGGTTAGGATTCAAATTTAAGGAAGTGTTTTTTACATAAATTTTTGACTTAGTTGCATTTAAAGTTAATTTGTGGTACTTCGACAAGGAGACTTCAGACGGAGGCTATACCTTTTTTTTGCGAATGTTTAATAGAGAACTGTCATACAGATTTCTAAAGATTTTTGGCATATTCGCATTTAAAATTACTTCGACAAGGAAAATTTTAGATAGAGGCTATCAAGTTGCACCTAAATTGAAAAAGTTTTTTACGGAATTTTTTTGCCAATATATCATAGTCAGGAAAATAGTGAATTGCCCTAATATATTTTATTTAGGAAATTAAGATTAAGAAACATCCAATTCCATCCCCCACATTTGTCATTATGGGCGTTAAAAAAATACTGACACAGTTAATTGAATAGCAATTAATTTATTTATGTTCTTTTAATTGACAACTAAATTCACGACCAAGTCTTACATTGTAAAATTACAGTAACCTCTATTTAAGTAACAGACAAATCGTGACCCTAAATAGTTAATTTGTCTTACGTTAATTACATGTTTCGGGTTTACTGTGTCTTTTTTGTAGGTGAAGGTCCCTTTAAAAGAATATTTTTTGGGAATATTTAAAATTCTTAGCACACGTCAACACAAGTTTCACATTCAATTCGAAAAACGTGATTATAAATAATCGTTACAAAATTGTTTTGGCCACACTTTTATCAACAGAAACGTGAATGAGAATTCTTGAACTTTTGTTTCTGTCTGCCATTGACAATTCCGAAAGCTATTTAACAATGATGGGGGTGTTGGGTTTAGAACGTGCGACATGTCACATTGATGATGTGGTTGGGAATAATAAAAAATTACAAAATAATAGCAGTTTAGTTAGAAGTCAAAAAAAGGTAAGGAGTTTAATTAAAGTTAGAATTTGACAGTTTTTTTGTGGATAAAAATGGAAAGGGGCAGGCGTTAATAAATCAGATGATTACGCACTGTATTATAGCTGACATGAAATGGGACATAAATTTGACAGCGGATTTATGGTTAACAGGAGAATAAGAGACCTCGTCTCCAGATTCGCTGCAGTAGATGAGCGAATTGCTTTAATCCTTATAAAAGCGAAGTTCTTCTAAATCAGTCTTTGCCCTACCGTCGGAAAATTCAGGCTCCATGAAGAAACATCACATAACGACATGAGGTTGACTTCGCAGCTGCAAAAACCATGGTAGATAGCAGCACCAGAAACAAGCATCTCGATATACACAAGGCCACTTGAATTTCTCCCGACCAAACAGCGAGAAATCAAACAAACTACAGCAAAAGCAACACGTGGGTTGCAAAAACCACCATCAAGAACCACGATCAGGAGTGTCGTAATGCTACTGATCTGAAAAACGCAGCGTATAGGGCAACCTTGAAGACAGTAGCAACACGTAATATGATGGAGAATTATGGGGAGAAAAAGAGAGAGGATAAACGTGTTTTCAGAAAAAAGACGAAAGAACAAGAAAAACGTAAGCGTGAGCAAATCAAGATGTGCAGGAGTCGGAATGAAGTCCGGAATTTTTACCAAAGAGTAATATGATGGAGAATTATCGGGAGAAAAAGAGAGAGGATAAACGTGTTTTCAGAAAAAAAGACGAAAGAACAAGAAAAACGTAAGCGTGAGCAAATCGAGATGTACAGGAGTCGGAATGAAATCCGGAATTTTTACTAAGGAGTAAACTGAAGGCTTTATTGCAGGCACATCCTTCTGTAGAGATGAAGAAGGAAACCTGGTAACAGATACTGACAGCATGTTGAGGCTCTGGAAGGAGCATTTTGAAAAGCTTCTGGTCTCAAATAGTGACGGTGAAGAAGATACCCCAGAACCAATTAGATATGACGGTATAGAGTGTAAATCACCTAGCCAAAATGAAGTCTGAATGGCAATTAATCGGCTGAAGAATAATAAAGCCGATGGGTTACCAGCCGAACTATTCAAGACCGGTGATTAGTACAATTTGGCTAGAGGAATACATGCCCATGATTGGAACCTCAGCATCCTGCGTCCTTGCACAAAAAAGGATACAAGACGATATGTGATTATAAAGCTACATTCGACATCCCTTTCCGTTCAGAGGTGTTTAAAGCCATGTATGCGTTCGGCATTCCTGCAAAATTAATACGGCTATGCAAGATAACTTTAACTGGCACAAGATCAGCAGTTAAATCTGAAAATAACCTCTCGGAACCATTCAATACCGAACGAGGATTCAGACAAGGTGACAGTTTATCGTGTGACCTTTTTAACATCCTGCTAGAAAGGGTGATAACAAGGTGAACAAAAATGAAACTCTTTATGCCAAACAGCACATGTTACTCGCCTACGCCGTTGACATCGATATAATGGGTAGAAAATTGCGAGCGGTAACAGCCACCTTTGAACAAATTGAAAAGTAGTCTGCTAGAGTGGGTCTGGCAGTAAATTGCGATAAGACCAATCTGATGGTATCAACCCGCAAGACGTCCAAAAGGCTAGGACCAAGTATGGAAATTGGAAACTACAACTTCGAGGTAGATAAATATTTTATTTACCTTGGTACCGCCATAAATTAAACTTCAGAGATCTCACAAACTTTCGCTTTAGGGAACTTCATAGAGTGTCGGTTCGGTGTTTTTCGGTTCGCTTCGCAAAATGAACTAGACCATTCATTAAGTTCAATAGTTCCTATTAGTTAAATCGTTAATTGGTTCATCGCAGTTAATTTGGTCAATGAACGGGAAGAACTAGAAAAACGATTGGATCAGAAGGACCTATGTGAACGAGAGTAAAAAGGAACAACGACAAAAATAACCAGATGAACGAAAGAACCAGAACGAAATCCAGTTCCTTTTGTATGATATTTATTTGGAGTAGATGGTTTCGGAAAACACAACACAATTTTTGTGAATGGCTTTGACTATTTCTGGCATATTTTAATTATTTTGACATATTTGCATTTAAAGTTATTTTAACAAAATCAAACTTTTCCGGTATTGTCTTCCCGGAGTGAACATAGAAGTCATAATATGGAATTTTTGTAATTTGGAGCACTCTTGGGCCACATAAACTTATAATATCCTCACATAATAGTTGAGTAGGGTACACAAATAATGCCTCGGAGAACTTTCTCTTAGACTTGTGTGCATACTGTCGAGAATATATAAAGTTCGTAATACATTTCTCAATTATCCGATGGATTTCAAATATGGGCACAGGATTCGAAAGAGATCTACGTCACAAATGTTTGACGTATTTGCATTTAAAGTTATTTTATCTATTTATAAACCATCAAAAATGATTCGCAAACGAATATAGAGGTCTGGGAAAATTTTTGAATTATTATGTAGAAAAAATTTTACGGCTGAAGATATTTAACATTTGAACATTTGATGATATCATATATCGGTTCCGTAATATATTTCTCGATGGATCTTGAATATAGGCACAGGTTTCGGAGGAGAGTTTTTTCAGTCTCTATCAGTTGTTCAGTCTCATCCAAGCCTACAATAGGCCTTATAAAATAATTTAAAAAATCTATGCTTGTGATAGACCTTAAAAAGTTTTAAGAAATAACCACACCTATTATAGGTTTTGAAAAATAATTTGTTTAAAAAAATCCACGACCATATTAGGCTTTTAAATATCATTTTTATAAATTCGCCACAGTTCTGATAGGTCACAGCAAGATTGATTTCTATTCTTAACATACCCCCCTTCCGGCATGTAGGGTACGACCATAACATATTGTATTTGAAAAAATGATGTAGCAGCTTCTTTATTAGAGAAATCCGCTCAAATCAAATCTCTATAAAAAACCAAACACTTTTTTTATTAAAAATAAAGCGAAGAAAATAATGAAAATGGCTTTAATAGCCATTAACCAAAAAATAACAAACGCTAGAGATCAAACAAAAAATAAGAAGAAGAACATCAAAAGCGTCAAGAAAAAAACGAAAACAATATAAATTATTACGCCCGTCATTGTGTAGCGAAAAAAATAAATAAATTACACATTTTTTGTTTAAATAAAAACAATAACAAAAAATAATCCATTCGAAAATTTGAAGACGAAAAAATAAACATTTCCTTGTACTTACCAAACTATCGGCAGCATTTTGAGACATTATTTGGCAGATTTCGTCTTCGGAATGAAACTCTCAGGATTTCGTTGCAAAAATAATTCCAGCAAACAAAACAACATTTTTGAGCTGCTTTTCAGAAACAAATTTTAAACAGAATATTTTTAAATTTTGAAAATAAATAATCCAAATTTATTTTACAAAAAAAAAAAAAAGAAAATAAAGAGAAGCCCACAAAAATTTGTTGGATTTTATTTAAAGAAAATTTGTTTGACCGGACAGACGACTGGCGTTACTAATGATGATGATGACGAAGACGACGACGACAATGTTGGCTAATGATCTTGATCTTGACGTTGATGATAATGACGTTATCTTCTTAGTTGTTATTGTTGTTGCTGCTGTTAATGACGTTTAATAACCTGCCAGACACATCTACGTATTTCGTTTCGTATTTTTTGTACTGAAAAAATAGAAAAGAAATTGGAGAAAACAAGAAACCATCAGTTAGACACACTATTAATAACAAATAACTAACAAAAAAATAATTAACCAAAAATGGTTAAAGATGTGTGGGAATAAATACATATCTGTCTACATGTATGGGTGTGTTGGTGTGGAAATTGTTTTTGTAGTTTAACACGAAAATCACAAATTAACTCAATAATCGAAATAAATTAGTAAAAGTTTTTTATTTAGTAAAAATGACTTCATTTCTTTTTTGTCGGCAGAGCAGTAACCCAGAATTTTGTAAAGAATATTTAGTCAGACTGTAAACTGGTGTGGATTTTTTAAAAATATATATTTTTTCAGGGACCCAATACAGCCGTGAACTCTTAACAATATTTATACCCTTCACCATACTGTGGTACAGGGTATTATGTCATCCAAAGGAAACCAGATAGACACATGGTTCCTTTTGAGAATATGCATAGAATCACTTTCTAAGTCGATTTATGCATGTCCGTCCGTCTGTCTGTCCATGTTAAATTGTAAACAAACATTTATTATTCGAATTGGATGAAATTGTATGACCAATAGGCGTGGATTTTATAAATAAATTTCTTAAGAACAATAGGCGTGGATTTTATAAAGAAATTTCTTAAGACCAATAGGCGTGGAAATTTTTTAAGACCAATAGGCGTGGATTTTATAAAGAAATTTCTTAAGACCAATAGGCGTGGATTTTATAAAGAAATTTCTTAAGACCAATAGGCGTGGATTTTATAAAGAAATTTCTTAAGACCAATAGGCGTGGATTTTATAAAGAAATTTCTTAAGACCAATAGGCGTGGATTTTATATTAATTGGCCCAAGGACGAACCCTATTGATATTGGGAAAAATCGGTTCAGATTTAGATATAGCTCCCATATATATTCGTCCGATTTAAGGTAAATGATGCACCAAAGTTCCTAAATATCTTTCGATTTGCACGAAGTTTGGCACAGCGTACTGAATTCTGCCTAGAATGATGTGTGCTAAGTTTCGTGAAATTCGGGTCAGATTTAGATATAGCTGCCATATATATTTTCGTCCGTTTTAATGTAAATGGTGCACCACATAGGAACTTTGGTGCACCATTATTCGATTTGCACGAAAATTGGCATAACGTACTGAATTGAGTATAAAATGATGTGTGTTGATGTGAGTTTCGTGAAGATCCGTTCAGATTTAAATAAACCTTCCATATATATTTTGGTTCGATTTACATAAATGGTGCACCAAACTCCTAATGTTTGTTCGATTGACACGAAATTTTGGACAACGTATCAAATTGAGACTTGAATGACGTTATTGCGTTTTGTTGAAATTGGTACAGATGTAGCCATAGCTTCCATATGTGTTTCTAACGGGTGTCTGATTGAAATTACATTTTTAACAGTACGGCGTACCGAATAGCCTCAATAGATTTTGTTATAAATCGTTTTCCATAAATTTGTCCCAAATTAAATTTTTATCATAGGTTACAGAAAGGTATGAGTATGTTCCATCGAGGGAACATACAACTGTAAGGATACATATGTTCAATATACCCAAAGTGGTGAAGGGTATCATATAGTCGGCCCTGTCCGACTTTAATACTTTTATACGAGCTTTTTTAACCCAGTGTCTTTAATGGAGGTTAAATGCCTACAAGAGTCAGAGGAGTGGATTATAAATCTCTATAGGCGCCATGAACCATCTATAAGGAATCAAAAAGTCATAGGCGTGGATCAATAATAAATTTAGTCCTTCAAGATAAATAGGTGTGAATGTAAAAAAAATTCTCTAGTGACTCCAGGACCTCCAAGATCCATAGACATGAATTAAAATATTTATAGAGCCACCATGAGTCATAGCCGTGGATTAAAAAAAAATATCTCTGGGGTCTCAAAGAGTTATAGCTGTGGATTAAAAAATCTCAAAGGATGCCATGAGCCATTGTGGGGCCATAGAGTCATAGACGTAGATTAAAAAAGGCATAGCAATAGCCATTATTGTGGAGTAAAAAAATCTCCAAAGCCTCGAAAAGTCATAGGCGTAGATTAAAAAATGTCTAAGCCTTCCAAAAGCCATAAACGTGGATTTAAAAAATGTCTAGGACATCCAAGAGTCATAGGCATGTATTAAAAACTATCTGTGAGGCACCTAAAGCCCTTACAGATAAGGCATCAATGATTCATGGGAGTAGTTTAAAAGTAAGTAAGTAAGTCTTTTAAGGTTTCGAAAAGCCATTGGCATAGAATAAAAAATTTGTCTTCACCTCCTATAGCCAAAAAGTGGATTAAAAATGTCCAGGACATCCAAGAGTCATAGGCATGAATTAAAAGAAACTATAAGGCTTCCAAGGACAATAAGTATATTTTTTTAAATAGTTTTCCATGGACCCAATACCGGGGTGGATTTTTTAAAAAAAATATTTGTCAATGCCCACACAAAAGATTATTTTTCAATGACCCAAAAATATGCATTTTTAAAGAATAGTATTTTTAAGACCCCATCCATCCTAGATATGTATTTCCAAAAAATATATACATTACGATGTCGCAGATTATTTTTAAAAAATATTTTTAGAAAAACCACCGAAGGCATGGATCATTAAAAATAAGTGAAAGAATGTCCAAAAGCAACACTAACATGATTTTCTTAAAGAATATTTTTTTATTAATCCAGATCTACGATAGGTATAGAAAAATAATTTTTAAAAAACTCGACGCATATTGTAGGCCTTGAAAAACATTTTTATAAGATCAAAAAATCCACGCATGTAAAACATTATTTTTTAAAATATCACGCCTTAGTGTGTCATTTAAAGTTCAAAAGTCGGACGGGCCGACTATATGATACACTTCACCACTATGGGTACATACAAGAGGGTAATGGGTACATTTTCCAAAACTTAATACACATCATTCTAGACTTAATTCAGAACGTTTTGCCAAATTTCGTGTCATTTACATTATATCGGGCGAAAATATATATGGGAGATAGACACAATTAAGTGCGCTGTGTTAAACTTCGTGCAAATCGAACGATTTATAAGGACTTTGGTGCACCATTTACATTAAATCGGGCGAAAATATATATGGGAGCTATATGTATATCTGAACCGATTTTTACGAAACTTATCACACATCCTTCTAGACTCAATTAAGTGTGCCAAAGGATATGTAGGGACCTCCGTGCACCATTTACATAAAATTGGACGAAAATATATTTGGGAGATATATCTAATGCTGAACCGATTTTCACAAATTTTACCACACATCGTTCAAGACTTAATTCAGTACGCTATGTCAACTTTCGTGCAAATCGATTGATATATAGGGTCTTTGGTGCACTATTTACCTTATATCGGACGAAAATATATATGGGAGCTATATCTAAATCTGAACCGATTTCCACGAACCTTAACACACATCACTCTAAATTTCGTTCAGTACGCTATACCAAATTTCGTGTAAATCGAAGGATATATAGGGACTTTGGTACACCATTTACCTTAATTCGGTCGAACATATATATGGGAGCTATATCTAAATCTGAACCGATTTTCACGAAATTTAACACACATCGTTCTAGACTCAATTCAGTACACTGTGCCAAATTTCGTGCAAATCGAAGGATATATAGGGACCTCCGTGTACCATTTACATTAAATCTGAGCTATATTTTAATCTGAACGGATCTTCACGATACTTAACACACATCATTCTAGACTCAATTCAGTACGATATGCCAAATTTCGTACAGATCAAAAAACATATTCGGACTTTGGTACACAATTTACATGAAATCGGACAAAAATAATACATATAGACATCACTCTAGGCTCAATTCCGTACGTTATACCAATTTTCGTGCAAATCGAAAGATATATAGGGACTTTGGTACACCATTTACATAAAATCGGAGGAAACTATATATGGGAGCTATATCTTAATCTGAACCGATTTTCACGAAACTTAGCACACATCACTGTACTTAGCACACATCACTTAGCACACATCACAGTACGCTATGCCAAATTTCTTGAAAATCTAAAGACTTTGGTGCACTATTTACCTAATATCGAACGAAAATATATATATGGGAGCTATATCTAAATCTGAACCGATTTTTCCGAAACTCACCACTCATCATTCTATACTCAATTCAGTTGGCATAACTTTCGTGCAAATCGATTGATATATAGGGTCTTTGGTGCACTATTTACCCTAAATCGGCCGAAAATATATATGGGAGCTATATTTAAATCTGAAACGATTTTTCCCAATTTTAATAGGGTTCATCCTTGGGCCAAACAAGTGACCTATGCCAATTTTCATCCAATTCGAATCGAAAAGCGACCTGTATTTTGTTTACAATTTAACATGGACAGACGGACGGACATCCATAAATCGATTAAAAAATCCCCGCCTCTGATAATTGATGGAATACAAAATTAAAAAAAAAGAATTAAAAAATGTTTTTATTTACTATAATAAAATAAATTAATTTAGACACTGGACCTTGACTACCTCTCAACAAAACATATATACATAAGTATATGTAAATAAAAAACTTATCGTCTCCATCAAATACCTTGT